ACTAGTTCGAATTAAGTGGCTACACAGCCCTTAATTCGAACTACTTAATTCGAACTAGGCATTAGTCCTCGTGGAATGAGGTTTCCCTAGTTCGAATTAAGCGCTCCGCTAGTTTGAATTAAGTTCGAACTAGCGGTTTGCCTGTGTAGCGCCTCTGAAAGTTAATTCGAACAAATGTCTGTTAGTTAACTAGGCGTTAGTCCTCGTAGAATGAGGTTTACCTAGTTCGAATTAAGTTCGAACTAGCGGTTTGCCTGTGTAGCGCCTCTGAAAGTTAATTCGAACAAATGTCTGTTAGTTCAAATTAACTTTGTAGTGTAGATATACCCTCAGAGAGGAATTATTAATGGTTCACAATCCTGCCACAAAGGGGGGTTTCGCAGGGGTCTTTTCTGGGACCGGCTCTGTTCAATATCTTCATCAACGATTTAGATATTGGCATAGAAAGCACGCTTATTAAGTTCTCAGTCAATTCCAAGCTGGGAGGAGTTGCAATTGCTCCCTGGGGCAGGGAGGCCCGTCCATATAGGCGAACTAGGGTGCCAAGTTAAATGGGGTGCCAAATGATGGCGCAATATCTTTGAGGGGTTTGGAGGCGGGGGCACCGATTGCATGATTTGCCTAGGGCGCCAGTTGCAGGCAGCTAGTCTAGGGCCGCCCCTGCCCTGGGGCACGCTGCCCTCCCCCTATTTGCAACGGCACCACCATGGAGCTGTGGGGACGTCCATGGGGTGCTCCTTGTCTGCAGGGGACCGGCTCTGCCACTGGCACAAAAGGCCTGGGAAGGGATCTGACGTCTGTGAAATGAAATGGTTAAATGACGAGGTGCAGTTGCTCTTTGGTCGACAGGGAAACAACCAGGGGGCGGTTGTTGGCTCTTTGCCTGCACACGCCGGTTTCCAGAGCTAGCGCAGGCCGATAGTACACAATTCAGAGCTGTAAAAACACTGTAACGGGGCAATTTCCTGCAATAGCCTGGGCAACCGGATTAGACGGAGTTTCTGTTTTCACTGTCAGCTTGGGGCGGGGAGAGAGCCCTCCAGGTGCTAATACCAGTGTGTGTGGGGGTGGTGGGGCGGGGGCAGAGATCAGC